TTAAGATTAATAATAAATCAGGGTTTTCAGCAGGTCGAATCAAATCATTATAGCAAATTATTTCAAGAATCGGGATTACAGAGATATGAGATATGCTGCTCGGATATGGGTACTGTAACTGCAACTGTACAGCGGCCGTATTAGACCTCCTGAGAGTCTATTAGAAAATTTTTGTATTTTTTTTCGTTTTCTCAAAACGATTTTGTATTTTCAACAATGGTGTACTTAGAATTTAATTATCTTGAACAGTTTTTGAGAAATTCCTTTTTATTCAATAAAAACCGTGACCATCTTAAAACATACAAAAAAATTGGTCCTAAGTCCTTTTTCGTTCAGAATCAAATGAACTTTTTTGTTGGAAATTTTTTCTAGAATTACCTCCTAGAATTTGATCATTAGGAACTTATGCACCCTGTATATTTCGTGAATTAATTTTAGATAAACATTTTGGGTCAAAATATATAGCCATTTTTAAAAAAAAAATAATGCTTATTTTTGAAAAAAAAATTCATTATTCAGAAATATGCCGAAAAGGGATAAACATTATTAGTATTTTTAAAATACGAAATCAATCTGTTAAAATAGAAAAAATCATGAGAATATTTTTGTCTTGAGAACAAAGTGTAAAATATTAATCTAGACTAGATACTAAATAATTGCGTTCATTAAATAGATTATAGATAGGGATCTGTTTAATCGTAAAAGTCTTTGGACGAACGCCACCTTTGGGAAGAGACTTTCTCTGTAAGTTGATACGGCGCAAATAATTCTCAAAAGGCATCCATGTAGAACTCTCTTTAGGATTGTTATAGTTTTATTTTTTCGGGTGTAGTGGACTACTTCGTTCATCTCAGCCGCTTTTTATTAAAAAAAAAACAATACTAGTATAGCTATTGACGAATTCATCAATTATACAGTATAAATAATTTGTATATTTAAATCTTCACGGTGTCCCGCCTAAGTAGAGGGAAAATATTAAAGGAGTAATTGCAAACCTCAAGAGCTACAAAAAAGTTTATAGAAGGTGTTTCAGAGTTAATTGGCCAAACTGCAAAAATGAACTAAGGACCTCAAAACAAGAAAAAAAAAAGTTTTGAAGGTATGGCCGCAAAACGCTGTGCAGGGCCAGTGGTTTGGCCTGCACGCTCTCCAGACCTGACACCACTGGATGTTTTTGTTTGGGGTGACATTAAATAAAATGTCTAAGCAAGTCCGGTCAATGACTTACGAAGAAGGATAATTGAATCTTGTGAAACAATAACACATATCCAGTACTGTTCTGCCACTGCTGCTGTTGAAGAAAGATGTCGAGACAATCAGTTTGAACAGCATTTAATGTATGCTTTTAATAATTAAAGTAGTTGGAACAAATAAATAAGTTTTATTTATTTAATAAAACGTAAATAATTCATAACAATGAAAATGTTTAGGAGTGAGTATCTCCTAAATAACGCGGTTGCGGACATACCTTCAGAGGAATTTCTTTTCTTGTTTTGAGATCCTCAGTTCATATTTTCAGTTTGGCCTCTTATCCCTGAAACATCCTGTATAAACATTGGTACGATTTTCGGAAGACAAGTAGGGAATTTAAGCATTGTGTTTTTGAAGTAAATCATGTTTGAATAGGAAGCGATAACTAAATTTAGGTTCAATTTAAGTAATATAAAATTGCTTTACTGTCAACGATTTTCCACTTGAATAATTTCATATCTCATCAAGATATTAGCACAAATGAACCAATAAACGTATGTCATCACAAATGTTCATTGAAAAAAAAATCAAATTATAATGAGGACAAATAAGCACTATTAATTAACGCTTTTGTATTCGAAGGAATGTCTTTTGATTTACTTTTTTAAAAATAAAAACAAAAAAAAAAAAAGATTTCATAGCCGATATCTCTTGCATTTATGAAGGTTGAGAAAAAAAATATAATGTATTGGAATCATCATATGAAAGAATTAAAAAAAAAATACAATGTTTTTTTATTTTTATATACATATGGGTTTAATAAACCATATAATGAATGATTGCAGTGGTTTGATTGTTATTTAGTCATGAGAGGCTTCAATAATTCTTACAAATAACATTATCGTAAACAAAATATTAATTTAATTTAATATATTTAAATATAACGTACAGATCTCCGCCTACAAACAGTTGACCAACATATAACGAAATTTACCAACGATTTTATACAAATTTAAACGGATATAACATTTTAATAGGAGGTATGCTACAGTAAAATACCCCTAAATATGAGGAGACTAAAAAGACGATGGATGAGAGATATCACTCATCTCATTATACATATATTTTATTGATTTATATTACATTCTACAGAAACATTACATTCTGTCACAAATAAGAACAATATATATATTTAAAATTAAAAAGTTTTCATGTGAATCTTTATAGACTTGATCTTTATCAGCTCTATTCAATTCTGGAAAACTCGTCGAATTTTTATGAACGCTGAATTAAAATTTCATAGAAAAATACTCGATACTTAATCGATGAAGGAAATAAATTTAATTTTGAAGTTTTGATGAACTTAATTACTGTACTTGCTTCAGATAAACTAGTAAAGGAAAAAAAAATTAATTGATGAAACTTAAGGCTATATGAGAATTATTTTAAAATTATAATGTAAATAAAAATTTAAAAAAATTTATGTATCTTAGAGGCATAAATCATAAATTTTTAATAAAAATATTTTCAGTTCATAATTTCATCAGAGCATCTAACTTAATATAATTAATTTAATTTATAATTATTTTGTTTCAATTAAATTATTTCAGTGCGGTTCATGATAATTTTTTTTCGTGCTTTCCTCGTTTTACGATATTCTTTTTCAAAGCTTTGCAATTGAAAAAAAAAAAAAATTATTCGTTCAATATAAAACGCAACCAAGCTTTGTTTTCTTTGATCCGATGTTGCAGTGAGCTCTGAGGAATTTAGAGCAATTAAACAGGAAAATTATAAAAATAAAAAATTATAATATACGTATTATTGAAATGTTTTTAGATGTTAAAACTCGGAGTCAAAATAATTAAATATTTAAGAAAACAATTCAAACTCAAGATCGTTCTCGACCTTCTTTATGACAATTGTCGTATGATTTAGAAAAACGTCGACAATTTATCGGAATTTACCATATTGCGATTTTATCTGCGTGACCGATAAGATTCTATATCAATACACTCATCTACATTAAAATGCATCGCAATGCATACAGTGTTTCTTCATTTGACGATACTCTTTGTCGGTATACTGCGAATTATCGCGCTCTGTGTGACTGCTATAATTCAATAATATACAACTATACCGCCGTATCGATGCCTACTGGAATATCAAATCGCCGAGGCATTAACAAAAAATTCTTGAAGTCTAGCACTTGAGCTCTCGATTTTTTTTTTATGACACAATATATTGTAATAACTTTAAAATCAAATATTTTTTTTAATTATCCGTTGAAGTTTCCAATGATAAAAAAATTCCAAAATGTCGAAAAACACCTCATTTTTTTTTTACCCACAACACTTTGACATGAAATGAAGCCTGAATTACACTGTTCTGAATCAAAATCTTCCCTTTAACACTCCGAAGGTCGCTGCGAATCTGTGATATTGGTAGGTTAATGATAGTGCAAACAAAATATCTTACCGATGTAGAGATGGTTGACCGTAGATATAATATGAGGAGTTGATCGGGGAGGGAGGGGGGGTGGATATAATTATAAGGATATAATTGTCCTCATATTATATCAACGGTCATCCATCTCTACATCGGTAAGATATTTTGTTTGCACTATCATTAACCTACCAATCCCACAGATCCGCAGCGACTTTCGGAGTGTTAAAGGGTAGATTTTGATGCAGAACAGTGTAATTTAGGCTTCATTTCATGTCAAATTTGCACTGTGGGTAAACAATATATTATATCATAAAAAAAAATTCGAGAGCTCAAGTGCTAGACTTCAAGAATTTTTTGTTTATGCCTCGGCCATACGATATTCCAGTAGGCATCGATACTGCGGTGTAGTTGTATTATATTGAATTATAGCAGACACACAGAGCGCGATAATTCGGAGATATACCGACAAAGAGTATCGTAAAGTGAAGAAACCATGTCTTATGTAATTTTTGTCGCTACTGGTATGACTGTTAATGCATTGCGATGTATTTTAATGTAGATGAGTGTGTTGCTATAGAATCTTATCGGTCACGCAGATATAATCGTAATATGGTAAATTCCGATGAATTGTCCTTTTTGCAAATCATACGATAATTGTGATAAAGAAGTTCGAGAACTATCTTGAGTTTGAATTGTTTTCTTAAATATTTAATTATTTTGGCTCCCCAGTTTTAACATCTAATAACATTTCAATAAACGTATATTATAATTTTTATTTATATTTATAATTTTATATCTACTTATATTCATTTATTTTCACCATGTTTTGTATCTTTTGTAGCCCTGATGAAGAGCTACAAAGTGGATCGAAACGTCGGGAAAAATTAAATAATTTTACTTATTTAATTTGACCACACCCCTCCGGTCAACTCCTTCTCATAAAATATCTTACCGTCTATGTGCCAGCCTACATCTTTTTTACCTTGGAAAGCTCTCCGTAGATGGTCCTTGCTGGTCAGGTAGTGGCTTCGAGTCTCTCTCAAAGATTAACTTTTATCTTTTAGATCTGCCCCCACCATTCGCCGTAACGCGGCAAATTTAAAACCATTGTTTTACGAACCAGGTATACTTATTTAATTATTTATTTTCTGGAGTTATTCCCGATAAACGAAGAGCTCTGGAGAGCGGAGTGATGGCTCACCTGCCAAGAATGCAACACAATACATCCTCTTCTTAGCGAGCACGTGCGAGGCCGAGGGTAAAAAAGCGGACGAACCAAAGGGGCCGGACCCACGTGTTGGAGCGACCGTCCCAACGTTAATTATTGTCCGGCCGCCGGGACTGCCATAGAGGATGTCTTCACAATGGGTCCGCGACGAATCTCTCTCCAACCTTCATTACTCTTTATTCTTCAAGGGGGCATCAGCTCTGACCCCTTTCTGTCCAATCCCTATCAGCCTATAAGATCTTATCAATGCATATCTCAAATCGCACATCTCACATCATCTGATAAAAATATTTAAAACGAGAGTATAACATAGATGGAGAACCTTTATATCATTAGAGAACGCATTAAGGTAAGCCAGTGATAATGGAGGCTGCTAAACAGTTACTATTTTTATTTATATGCAAGAGAGTTGTTCTGCACACAGCACGACAATCACTCCATATGGACATAACTCTTACATTACATCATTATTTTGTTATTATACATATACATATTCTTAGTTCCCTCCCTTATCATAACACTAATCATCTTAAATACTACCAATATGTTCAGGGATCAACCTCTGAAACACAAAAAAAACAATTCTATACAGTCAGAACTCCACCGCCATTTTATGGCTTCCATTTTGATACAAATATTTCCTGTTGAGTTAATCTGTTAATTTGGTGAAGTGTGCACACAGTAAGGTACTCTCTTAAGAAATCACAAAGAAAATCAGAACAGCAATCAAGAAAAGAAGAACAGCCTGGTGGAGAGTATGGGGAGAAAGAAGATGTGGCCAAAATCATGAAGCTCAGTTTCAGACAGCAAGAGAGTCCGAATTGACAATGCAATTTCATTCAAAGCAAAATCACTGTTAACATGACAATACCAAACCAAAAATTGTAATTTCACAATCAGCAATATGTAATTAATCTGTAAAGAAGCACAAAATTGTACAAAGGCACAAATTTCATTTCTTTTTAACTTTATTCAATTTTATGCAATATAATCATGTTCTCAATATGTTTCTTTAATTTAATCAAGTATCAAATTTCACTGATCCAAACTCATACAGTCCACACCCATTTTCACTATCACCCACACAAACACTTTTGAATACTAGAAATACAAGAACAAATCGCATTCCATCAAACAAAAAGATAGGACTATACTAAAATTTACAAAATAAATAAATGAACATTCTCAATTGACAGTTAGTTACAATATAAGTGGTAGTGGATGATATCCAGGGAATATAAAATAATGTTTTCGGACAAAATCGCAATCTCCCCAACATCAACATCTAGTTTCTCGAGAAAGCTTGTTCTTTTAGGAAATGTTCCGCGAGACCCAAACCAGAGGGCTCTCACGTAGAACTCTCTTTCTCTGAAGGTCTCACGAAACTTCTCTTTTAGAAAAGGTATACATTTATCATTTTCATCTTTTCTCTTTCGTTTTCATCAGCCTGATCGAGTTCAATGCTTTAAAAGAGTACATCCAAGATCATCACTGTCCTTCCTGTCTTGGGAAATGCGACAATATCCGCATACCTTGTAGATCCTTCACTGCCAATGCAACAGACCTCGTCAAAGCAGGTGAATTCCTTTTCTCTAAGGAGCCTCATCAACTCGAACTTGACCCTATGGCACTGACGTGTTATGAGGAGAGAGTTGTTGGAACATTTTCTTAGCTCATGGGCTGGTGTTTCAGACTCTGCAGCATTTCCGGCAGAGGGACCCAACTTCCTTCCACTGTCCAGTGGCTCCTGGGACTCCTCGCAAAGGTGCGTAATTATTCTTGAATTTTGAGTTTTAAGATCATTCTGATCCAAAAAGCAATAGCTTCTGGAATATAAATTTATTATTTTTCGGGGCCTCTTTAATTGAAGGAAGTTAGTTGACTGTTCTAAATATCATGGATGATACATACTCAGGACGAAGTCAGTTTTTTTAAGATTTGCATTGTATTGAATATTTAGGTAGTGATAAAATACTTAGGTACCTACTAATAAGTCTTAGCAAAGCTAGTGGACTCTGTCCGATTTTTTAATAGACTTTAGTTTACATATTTTACTGATCTTGAAGATTATTATTTTTTTTTTAATTTCAAATTCATGGGGAGGGGAAGAAATGATATTCTCGCTCTCTGATTATTTTTATTTAGGAGGCTACAACTCCTATCGTCTCCTCCTGCCTCCCCCTAAAATCTGCGCCTATGGCTTACAGAGGCGAATATGAAGTAGATTATTTGTTGGCCTAATAATGTCAACAACATCACGTGAAGTAATATATGTATATATACCTATAACATATGTTTTAAATCTTAAAATATAAAAAAGAAATGTTGGAAAGAGAAAATTTATTAATAATATACTCCAATTTGTTATTTATATTATTAATTAAACAGAAGATTTAATATTGTTTTTATAATACATTGAACGGCAAGGGTTTTACGAGTCGTCTAGCTCCGGTATTTTTGGACTCAGGACGCCGGCCAAAATTATTTTTGAACTGCAACTTATTCTTAGAAAACTGGGGATGATAGGAATGAATATATTAAACGCTCCCGACCTATTATCTTCCTACATTGTAGTCTTTAGAAAACCAAGCATTCTTCCATGTATTCTTTTCGGTAAACCATAAGTAAATAACAATTTTATAAATTAAAAAATAAACCTATAAATGCTCAAATAAAAGTAATAATTAAATGTAACAGATGATTCCAAAACATTTACGGCTGTCTTAATAGATGATAAAAAAAACTGAGGTGTGTGCTTTGGACCAAAAAAGAAGTTAAAACATCAACAAGGCCTGATTAATAATATAAAATATAAATTATAAATAATAGCTAATTATAAAGAAGCTAAAATGATGAATATTTCCTTCACTTACAGCATGCAGGTCCGAGTATTAATTTTAGAGATATTTTAATCCATATGCAAAAATACTTAATTTACGAAATCATTGACTACAATTAAAAACAGAATTGCTTACAGTTATTTGTTCACTATCTTGTATAGTTTCACTCAATCGTGAAATACTTTCTACGATCAGTCAGAAAAAAAACATACTTATTTATATTTTTTTCTTTGTATTTATATATTAAAATTTGTAAATTTAAAATTATTAATGGTAGCTTCTTCAAAGTAACTTTAGATCTATTTAGAAAGAAAGAAATCAACAAAAACTCTTATACAGCCTTAAAGAACAAAATGGTTTCCGGAAATGTGGATGCATAGTTTCCTCAATCACTTGAAATTAAATTAATTGTATAAAATAAATGTTTTATAAAATGCATTTTTATAATCCTCAACTTTGCTCGATAGATAGTGAAGTGGAAGAATTGGAGTCAAGTCTTTCCGTTTCAACATCTACATCAATTTTTTGCCGAAGTTACTAAGAGGATTTACAAACCCCTTTTTATGAAATTATTAACATCCGTCTGACTCTTCGTAAACAGCTTCATCTCATCGTAAATTACAAATATTTTATTTACGAAAATTCTCGGAATTGGAATACAATATGGAGGTCGGCAAACTTTGTCTATTTAATTAGGTACTAAAAATTCGTAAATACCCATTGTTTTGGGTATTATCGCTAGATAACTTGAGCACAAAGTCAAGAAAAAAGTTTACCTCTAAAAATATTTAGCCGTTTGGCCTATATACATAAGCCGTTATTTCGACAATTTGGGTGTATAGGTCATGCCAAACGGCTCAATAATTGTAAAGGCCATCTTTTTTCTGGACTTTGTGCTCAAATTATCTTACGATTAAAGTGGAAAGAAACTGGGTATTTACGAGTTTTTAGTAACTAATTAAATAGACAAAGTTTGCCGTTTTCCAGATTGAAAACGCCCCAATTTCAAGAATTTTCGTAAATAAAATGTTTGTAGGTTACGATGTGATGAAGCTATTTACGAAGTTTCAGCGGGATGTTAATAATTGGATACAAAGGAGTCTGTAGCACGCACTATAATTAATAGAATTAATTTTCGATAAATTTGCAAAGATTAATTACCTTAATCAATATCTAGGGTAGTTGTGGATTTTCAATAAAACACCATAAAAAATAAATTTAATAATAATAAATTTCATGTTGTATTTTATTACACAATACACTAAATGTACTTGACTGACATCGGAATATTAGAAATTAAACTGAACCATTTTCAAAAAAATTCCTACAGGTATAAGAAATTATCAATATGTATTTATTGAATTGTTATTAAATTCAATAATAATAAAATATATTAATAAAGTTTCTTACCACTATTACATAATAGTTGAACAATACTGTTACAAGTGAATATACTCAATGTGCTTCAGTGGCCTTGAAAATGTTTGTATGGCTATTTGGCAAAGTAATGTTTTTTTTTCCATCCTGAAAAAATGTCGTTTTCGCATTCCATTGTAGTATTTTTTTTTTTTTTTTTTTTAGTTAGAATAACAACACCTTTAAGATTTTTAAACAAAATATATTTTAAATAGCTAATAAGAAGAAATCTATATAAGGCCCAGGAATTTCTTTTACAAAATGACAAATCGAAAGATGAAAAAAAAATCATTTTGTAATCTTTCATAATACCTCGATTTAAAAATTTATAGTTGTAATAATATTTTTTTACAATAATATTTGTTTTTTTAATATGGTTCTTGAAGGATGTGGTAGGATATTATTTTTTTTATAATAATGATATATTTTACAAATATTATTTGAAATTTAATGTTTTATGCTAAATTATTCAGTTTAAATCATAAATAAATATATTTATAATTCTGAAGAAAAAAAAACCGTAATAAAACAACAACAAAATATTACATTATATAGGTATGTATTTATTTAGGTCATAATTCAGCAATAAAACAATAAAATATAAGATATTATTAAAATAAAATAAACAAAAAGTCAGATATAAATATACGATTAATAATATGGTATGTGGTATTAGAAATATTCTCCGTCATGTGTTTTTTTTTCTATATAAAATATGCAAGGTCAAAGAATTGATAAGAAGTTTCTTTGAATCTACGATTATTGGATCAACTTTATATGGACTATTAGTTTTTTTACCTTCCGTAAGCTACTGTAAGATAAATTTTATTATATTTAATAACATTTATTTTTTTTATAAATAAATACTATTTATAATTGAAAAAAAAATTCAGTTACTTTAAATTGAGAATCGTATCAAATACGAACGCAGTTTTAATTATTCTATTTATGGTAATTTATTTTTTGTTTGAAGGGATCATCGGTTCAATCAATGTTGAGATAAAGATTAGTTTGTATTTCAATAAATAAATTATTGAATATATGAGTTATTGTTAAGACGTAGCAAAAATCGATAGATTGAAAAGATGGTGTAGTTAAAATTAAGTGAAAATTGGTTAAGAAGTTTTCGCGGTAAGTGGTTACAAACGAAATATAGTGTCATTTTTCATATATTTATTTTTTATTTCTACTCGATTTTCCAGGCTGCATTTTACTTCTCATTTCCTGAAGACAAATATTTCAATGGAATTTCAAATTTCAAGCGAGGAGAAGTGACGGAAACATTTTTAAACACACAAAATCTTACTACAATTACAATACAAAAACAGTCATTGAAAAAATTAGGTTTCAAAATAGAAGATTTCAGTTACAGATATGTCAACAGACAGAGACAGGATAAACCGTCCTTTAAATATTTTAAGGCAGATGGAGTTCTTAAGAACCCTTGCGAATTAAAACCCTGTAATGTACTATTTTTGAAATAACACAGATCCCAACATTATGCAAGCCTTATACTAACTATCATCTTCAGGTGTAAAAAAATAGTCACATCCCAATAAATTTCTGGAAAAAAAATACATTTAAACTCAATATGAGAAGGCAGTGGATCAGCTGATGAGAAGGTTGTCTCCTCAACTCCTCTCTCAGTTTTTACCAATTTTATAGCGGAATCTCTCTGATTATTCACGTGATACAGTTAAAGTGTATATCAGAGCAGTTGATATTTACTGTTGGCATCTTTTTTTTTGTTATTTTAAGAAAAAAAAAAAATTTTTTTTTTTTTTTTTTTTTTTATTTATTTATTTATTTTTCTCTTATGATATGCGGTATGATCAGCAAGTGATGGCCAGTAAGATGCCCAAGAGGTCTCGGTCAGACGGAGTTAGCTCACCAGCCAAACAAAGGACTCGTCGCTGCCTACGAGAAATACCTCCCGTGACCAAAATGAACACTTCAGAACCAGAACCTCAGCCCCAACCAGGTACGTCTGCACAAGAAACGATTGAAGAATCACCTTTCTTTACTCCAAACCCCTACCAAGTGCTTCAAAATGACAGAGAAGTAATGGAGTCTGCAGCAATACCCAGAGAACCAAAGCCTCCTCCGATATTTGTGAAAAATATAAAAAAATTCCAGATGTTCTGCACCCAACTAAATAAAATCTGCTCTGGCAGTTATTCATGCCTTAACAGGACCAATGACACCAAAATAACACCTGATTCTGCAGAAGCCTACCGAAAAATAGTGAAGTACTTATCAGAAACAAATGCGAATTTTCACACTTACCAGCTGAGGCAGGAAAGAGCTTTACGAGTAGTGATAAGAAATTTACATTCCTCAACCCCCACTGAAGTTATTAAAGAAGAACTAACGACGCTTGGTTTCAATGTACGCCAGGTAACAAACGTTTTGAAAG